ACAGCCAGGGCAGTACCTCTCCACAAAAACCCAGCAATGACAATAAAGTAGGCCCGGAGAAATGTACAGCTCAAGTACAAGACAAGGACTTCAAAACAGCTATCATGAGTATGTTCAGTACCTTAAGCAGGATATGAATAAGCCCATTAATAAAGTTTATGAGAATAAAAATAGCAGAATGAGAGAGTGAGAAACCTTAGAAAACTGAGCCCTAAACCAGAAATCTCCATTAAATCTCTCCCCTCAGGGTTCAGGGAACTCTGAGGAAGAGGAAGTAGAAAGATTGTAAGAGCCAAAGGGGATGGAAGATCCCAAGGAAGCATATGACCTCACAGAGACTGTGAGAGCATGCACAGGGCCTGCACAGGTCTAAGACAGCTGGGGTCTCAGTAATGAGGGGGTATGTGGTTATATTTTGTTTATGATGTAACAAATAAAACTTGCCTGAAGATCAGAGTGCAGAGGTAGCCACACTAGTTAGCCACAGAGGTCCGACAGTACTCGGGAGATAGAGGCAGATGGATCTCTATTAGTTCAAGGCCACTCTGGGCTACATGAAATCAAGTTTAAAAGAGCAATAGAGCCAAGAGGTGGTGGCTCACACCTTTAATCCCAGTACTTGGGAGTCACACATGTTTAATCCCAGCACTAAGGAGGCGGAGATAGGAAGGGATGTGGCTGGGCAGAGAGCGGAATATAAGGCGGGAAGAGACAGGCGCTCACTGCAGTCTAAACAGCAGTCAGTCTGAGGATGCAGTCTCAGGCAGCAGTCTGAGGAAGGATTACCCCTTTGGTCTGAGCATTGGTAGAGCTAAGAACTCTAGTGGCTGGCCTATTTGCTTCTCTGATCTTTCAGCTTTCATCCCCTTATAGCTGACTCTGAGTTTTTATTATTAATACCAATTAAAATTCATGCTACAAGGGTTAGTAGACACAAGTCCCCATTCCTAATTCAGAAGCTATCTTCAATTGATAACCACTCTCAAAGAAAAACTAAGTTCTCCAATGAAGTCTCACTGGGTATACAAACGACTCGAGGGCAGGCCCCATGTCCTGCACAAAACAAATACAACAGAGGATTTTTGATCTCATGACCCTTTGTCTGGGCATTTAAAACAAACAACCTTACAGATCTTTACTTACATATTATGACTTCCAATTTGTTTTTATGGCTCCCCTCCCCACCACTTTCTGTGATTCTGTATGTCAGTGTCTGCCTATATTTCTTGTGCTTCTTCTTAAGTTCTTTCCCTCCTCTTTATTTTGTCCTATTTTGGCTTGTTTTTATTTGATCTTATATTATTACTATTATTATTTTAGGTGCCTGTTTGTAGTCGAATGAGAAAGAAAGGGTAGGGATTTGGGTGGGTGGGGAGGATCTGGGAAAAGCTGGGGGAGTGGAAACTGTAATCAGAATATATTGTATGAAAACAACTATTTTCAAAAAATTAAATGAATAAATAAACCAAAATGACTCATTGCCAAGGGAGATGGCTCAGTGGTTAAACTGCTCGCTGTATAAGCCTGAGAACCTGACTCTAGGTCCTCAGGGCACACACCGGATCTGGGAGCTGTAGTACACACTTCTATAATCCCTGTGCTCTTAAAGGAAGATCAGAGGCAGAGACCAAGGAATTCTCAGATGTTCATGGGCAAGTCAGCCTGTTATATAAAGAAGAGTCTCAAAAAAGGTGAGGACCAACACCCAGGTTGCTCTCTGACCTCCACAGACATACTATAGCACGTGTACACCCACACATGTTATACACAAACAAAACAAATAGCAAAACTGACTTCTGGCTAATTCATATCTAAATGCTTGAGAACCCTGGTAGATAGTTAGGTACTGTAGAAATCACAGTAAGATTGCCTAAGATTGCCTTAGGGAGCAGAGCTAATCTTGGAAGGCAATAGGTACCTGGAGATGGAAGCTGATGTCTCTATTCATACTTGCTCCACTTCCCTTGTAGCTTGTACCAAGAGCCTTTCCTGTGTGCCTTCATGTCAAGCTGTCTATGTAACATGTATGGTACATCCAGTCAGATGTATCTTGGACTTCATCTATTTGGCCAGATAGAATTTATTGGCGTTTCTGGGTTTTAAACATAAAAATTGTCTATTTTGCTTACATCTGTGTTCCCAGTGCCTAACTTACAGTATAAACACAATAAACCCTTCTGAAATGAATATACAGACCAAGATAGGAGAATTCATCATCTATGATGTGAATCTAATTAAGGAAAAAAAAATCTGGATCAATAATGCTTCCTCAGCAGAAAGTAACCAGCTACAGAAAGACATCCATGGTTTACTCAGCATACTAACCCCTTTCTCTTCAGGTACTTCTGAACATTAAATCTATGCTCTCTGCAATTGCAGTGGAACTCTGCATAGCCCTGACTGGCCTTGAACTCACAATCACCCTGCTTCATTGTTCAGAGTACTAGGATTGTAGATGTCACTGTACTTGGTTTCAAAGAAATTATGATGTTTAAAAGTTCAAATTTTTGCTGGATGTGATGTTCAAGTAAATTCAGGCCAGGTAAGCTATCCCCTTTAGATCTATTTATTGATTTAATCATTTTAAAAGGCAAGATTGCAGTTACAAGAGGTACATACTATTTCTTGTCACAGATTCAGTAGCTACCAAACAATATGGCCTACATGGTTCCAAAGAAGTACATAAATTTAAAAGATTTTCTTGAAAATTTTATTTATAGCCCATATGATAATATTCACAAAGACACTAAAAACACAGAAATCTTCCCCTTTTTATACTTAAATTTCAATGATAGGAGACTTGAATTTTTCATGTTAGCCTTATGTTAAATTTTGTGCTCAGTATCAAATGAATTAATGTCAATTTCTTTACCAATGAACTACAAGAAACACGAATTATGATGAAAGAGTGAAGTAAAAATATGCTTGCAGACACTTGCATTTATATTTTTTATTATACTAGTATAATCTGTAAATCTGGTACTAATGAGAAGATTTAAATGGTTGAGGAATGTGTTTAGTGAATTATTGCCAATCAATGCGTCTGTTTTAGTATAAATGCAATCTTGAATGGCAGCACACCTATTATTACAAATTCCTAAGACACATGGATGCTGTCTCAGTGGAAGTATGAGACACATGGGGTCCTGTCATAGGGCAAAACTGAGACACATAGGGTCCTGTCTCAGAAAACAGACACATGGGGGCTGGGGAGATCCTGTCTCAGAAAACAGAATAGAAGAGACCCAAACCAGTAGTAGTTCTGTTAATCTGTTACTGGAGGACTTTATGTTTATATCACCACGATCAAACATTACTTTTTCAAGTTAACTCATTTTATATAAATTCTTCCAAACATCCATGTGCTCGATTAACAAACACCTATTGAGTACTGAATTTGTCCTAGGTATAAGGAGATGGGGCTATAAACATGAGTAAGAGATCATCTCTACTTATAAACCAAACAAACATAATTGGGCCCAGTGTAGTGGCACACAGCTTTGGGAGGCAGAAGCAGGCAAATCTCGGTGAGTTCTAGGTTAGCCTGGTCTACAGAGAGAGTTCCAGATCAGCCTGCTCTATTTGTTGAGTTCCAACTCAGCCTCTTCTGCATTGTGAGTTACAGAAAGCCAAGGCTACATAGTGAAGATCCCATCTCAAAACAAGCATACACTCAAATGAAACAGAACCGATTCTAACTAAACCCCAACCTAAAACAAACAAAAACAAACCCTGTTAAATCAATGGAAGACAGAACTAAATAAACAAAGCAAAATACACTAGTATTTATATTGAAATTATCTACAGTTTCACATTTTCAATAATTAAAGAGTATCCTACTGAAAACACGAACAGTACCTAGAAACTTTCATAGCTTAGAATTACCTTCTCCTTTTGCTGTTCTATAGAGAAATTAAAAACAAAAATTAAAGCATAAGTTTACAAAGACCCATAAACTTAGCACTTCAAATTAACAACTGCTAGTATATGCTTCATTTTTTTATAGATTTGTTTTCTAAATATAGAAATATCTTGATTGATCAAGTGTTAATGATTAAGGAATTGTTAAAACAGCCATTGGCTAGATGACTCTGGGTAAATTTACTAAACTTTGACCCTCAATTTTCTCATTAAAAAATAATCATGCCAACCTAGGTTGGATTGTCTTGTATTTGGTCCTCAGTATCCATGGTCTACAAAGCTTTTGACTACATTGGATCATCTAGAGATATCAGCAGGGGACCACAGTAATGAAGGAAATGAAGGTATTCCTTTATGCACTCCATATCAAACCCTAAAGTTGGCAGTATCTTTATCAAAACCAACTCTCAGCACAGTGCCTGTAGAAAAAGGAATGGCAAAAACCTATATAGTCTGAGGGAGGGCTCCCAAAGTCCATTCCTATGCTAGGGATAAGTACTAATCTACTACAAGAGGCCCCATAGATTTCCGAGGCCACACCCACATTCATGGGATCTGGATCAGTTCCATGCTGGTTTCCCAGCTTTCAGTCTGGGGACCAAGAGCTCCCCCTTGTTCAGGTCAGCTGTTTCTGTGAGTTTCCCCAGCCTGGTCTTGATCCCTTTGCTCATCACTCCTCCTCTGCAACTGGATTCCGGTTCAGTTCAGTGTTTAGCTGTGAATGTCTGTTTCTACTTCCATCAGCTACTGGATGACAAATGGGGAAGGCCTAGGCCCTATCCCAAAGGATGTGACAGACTCTGAAGACCCCCCCCCTTCAAATGGAAGGCCTCACCCTCCCTGGGGGACAGAACTGGGAGGGGATAGGGAGGGTGTTAGTGGGGGGCAGGGGAGGAGGGGATGGAGAGGGAACTGGGATTGACATGTAAAACAATCTTGTTTCTAATTTAAATTAAAAAATGGAGAAAAAAATGGCATCTTTACATCCTCATCTATCAGTCATGGTACAGTCACTCATTACCAATGACAAAGCACCCCACCAACCTCCTATGAAAACTCCACTTCACCTCTTATCTTACCTCATCCTTTATGTCTTCCTGTTGTTGGGCTGAGAAAATTTCCATTGCAGCCATGAGTCTCATCATTAACTCATCCACTGTTGTATTACCTAATGAGACATAAGAGATCCAAAGCTTTATGTAAAATTTATATAACTTCAAGTTATTAAAAATATTAGAAACTACAGACTGGAATGCTAGTATTAAAATACTTTCATATGCCAGGCGGTAACCTGCTTCCTAAAGGCTCCACAGCCTCCTCAAACAGCCTACCCAACTGGACACCAACTTCAAACACCTAAGCCTGTGATGGGGATTTCTCATTCAAAAAAACCATAGCTACTAACATTTACTTTATTAGAAACTTTAATACAGGGGCCAAGCAAAATGGTTCAGTGGGTAAAGGTGCTAGTACCAAGTCTGATAACCTGAGTTCAGCCCATGGAACCTATAGAGTGAAGAAGAGAACACATACACAGAACAAGTAAATGTAACACAAAAATTAAAAAGAAATTAAACATTTACAACATATATATCAATTCATTTAAAAGTAACAGTGCACATTATAAAATAAATACTACGTTTTTGTTTAAAAAAAAAAAAAAAAAACTCATCCCAGAAGGAAAAGGTTAGTGAGAAGAATGGCATGGTTATATCACTTTCATATATTTCTATACAATTTGGCTCAATAGAAAACAATTATAGCTTTATATCTATTTCTATACTACAGTAGTAGAAATGTGCTTAATTTAAATTTATAAAGAATATGTGGCCTTCTGCTAATAGTCAGAAATTGAAGACATTTTAATATGTACTTGTAGTTACATTTATTTGATACTATACTCAGTTTGACAAGAGAAGTTTCTTCAAATTAACAGCACATAGAATTTGAAAGTATCAAAAGATACACTTCTGTATTTTGTTACACTAAAATTCTTTTCCTCTTCCCCCTCAAAACTCCATGGCCTCCTTATATCATCCAAGCTGACCTTGAACTCTTGATTTACCAGCCTCTGCCATTAGAATAGCAGAGATTATAGGTGCACCTGACAGTACGCAGCTCTGTTATCTCTGAAATGATCATTTCTGCATGTATAATTTTATTCCATTACCAGTCAATTGCCTTTGGAAAACATGTATTTCTTGTGAATGCTGATGCACAATACTGCATGAAATAAAAAAATCACATTTGTTAATATCAATAGTAATGTCATCAGAAAGTATTTGTGCTGCTAATCTTCCAGTGGAGGTAGGTAGATCAAATTTTATCATTGGCAACAAATATATCCAGTTCTTTTTACTTGAAAGTGATAAATACACTTTGTTTATTTCATAGAAAATATTTGCCAAATGCCCACTTTACATAAGGACAATTTGTCAAGCAGTAAAAATGATTTCAGGGAAGGTGGAGAGAAGCAACTAGTTTAGCTCAAGAAACTACATAAATGATTTTCTTTGAGACAACTACAATATATTGGTGCACATCACCTAATAAAAGGGTTAACTGTAAGTGCATGGCAATGAAGGACATGACTAACATACGATGATTTATGTCAGAGGCTTGACTCAAACTAAGATGACAACAGCTTTAGAAATCATTGCTTTTGAGCCACTACTGCAAGTGTTAACATAAGAAAAAGGGCAAAACACAACTAATCTATAAAAACAATGCAAAGTAAAACAAAATCCCCATCTATTATAATAAAGACAAGAGTTGTGACCTTGCAGATTTCCTGAAACTGGGACTTCTGGAGTCCATGCCCCATAGTTTGCAAAACACAAGCTATCACAATATTACCTCCGATGAAGCAAACAAGAAAGAAACGTCTTCACTTTCTACTCACCCCATGGGAATCAGCTACCTCAGCAGGTCTTTTTAAAAGACTGCCTAGGAAACTAAACGCTCTGGTTATAGAGAAAACAAAATACCTGAGCTTTTGTTTTGGTTAGGCTTTAAAGGCACTGGAATGCACAAATCCCCCGCCCCTATCAGACTTAAATGGGGCAGAAATGAAGTACCCCAGACTCAGGCTTTAGCTTGGAACACTTGAAAAACCTTGGCAGCACAGAGTGGATGTGCTATTTTTATTTAAGATTTCCCATGAGCACAGCAATTTTGTTTTTTATTCTAGCTTTTGGATGTTTTAGTAATAACAACAAAACCATTCATTCGCCTTACTTTCTTTTTTAAAGGAAACAATGTAAAGTATGGTTACATTTACAGAAAAATGTAAACTATGGTTAAATTTATAGGAATTCCACAGATTTTTGCCTCAGGGTTGCATCTTAGGATGAAGTCACACAAATAAGAAGGAACAACTGACACGTGAAAAATTCAATTTGCAATGTATAGTCATAGAATTTTCTAGGTAATTAAAGATAAGCAATTTTTCAATATTGCAGCTATAAATCAACAGAAATAAATGTCACATTTGACAAATGATTATTACCTAATTGCTAGTTTTAGGGAATTAAGCATTTCTGAACATTAACTTGACTATTCTATGTCCAAAGAGGTATGCAATTTTAGAGGTAACTCTGGCAGATTTTTTAAACACAGAGTATTTTATTTTTTCATAGTACCTGAAGATGCTCTTCAGGATGTTTTATATCTTAAAATGTAAAGACATTTATCAATAGCAAGAAATACTGCTAGCTTTGGTGGGAAAATGATAGGGTTATCACATACATAAAGCTTTATTCCCATCATGACATGTACTTTATTTACCTTGTATCACATTTAACACTTCATTAGATGACCGTTTTCCCATGATAATCAGGAAAAGTGGAAACTGATCTGTTTTTTGAGTCCGAATGGTCTGTGCAATAACACTGCCGAAGTGTCTATTGCACATAGTCAGAAATCTGAAACACAACAAAACCAAAGTAAGTTTCAAACAAATTAGTAGATATGAGATGCCATTACTAATCATGTAAAGTTAGATACTCTGACTTACATCAGTATGGAAATTTTTACTATGTTGAGTTTTCAACCAAATCTTTGATGGCTGTCATATAGAAAAGAAGGAAGCACACCCTAATTGCTGTCAGCATGTGATTCTTCTTACGTCTCAAATATTACAAGATGTACCACCTAATCTCTGAGAAAACAAAAAGAATTTCCAGGAAAGAATTTCTTAGCTAGGATAAATAATAGTGTGGTAAAAAGGTAAACTGACTAGCATCATTTAGCAACATTTTCCTAAGTCCTTAGAGTCAAGAACTAGGCTGGAGCATTGTGTCTCCTTGAGAAGTAGTAGGTCTAGTTTGTACTTAGTGTGGAACAAAAACAACAATTCTAAGCTTTTGGCCAAAAAAGCTCAGAGATATTAGCATACTGAAGTCTAGCATTAGTATTCTTAACACGATCTGGAATAAATGAAAAAACTGATAAAGCTTTTCTCTTCTATTAGAGGACTGTTTGAAATTAGCATTTCTTTCAAGAGAAAAGGGTAGCTTATGATATGTTTTCAGATCTGATGGTAAAAAGTAAATGTCATAATAATAATGAATTATGAAAGACCAAATGCAAATATAGAATGCTTTAATAAGATCCAATTTAATAAAGTCTGTAAAAATAATGGACTTTTAATAACACAGGTCACAAAAGGCAAAACAGTGGAAATTCTGGAGACTAGCCACTGGTACTAGCTTATTAATTCTTAATTATGTTCATGAAAGGCAACTTAAATCGTGTGTTTTCTTATGCCTTATGATAATATTTTAGGTAACAACTCCTCTGAAATGTATGTTCTAGCTGATGAGCAAAGTCCTGTCGTCACATGCATTAGAAGGTAAATCTATTTGAAAAGACAAACGGTATTAAAATGTCATGTGCTCAGATTCATTTGATAACCAATTCAAAACAGAATCAAACCTCTTAATTTTTAAAGCCAATACATTTTCTGTCAATAGAAATTCACTTCAGAAATTTAGGCTGAATCTTTTGTAAAACCCGTGCTGTGACTACAGAAAGTAGATCTTGTTAAGGGCAACTAGAACTGTCAGCCAGAGTGTCAAGACAAGTTAGCACCACTCAGTAAGTTCATTGGGAGGCAGCTTCATATACACGTTTAGTGCAGCAATAACCAGACCTCGTGGCAATTTGAAATGACAAGGCCTTAAGAAATCCATTGTCGGCCAAGAAATATCAGTGCCCCCATGAAAATTCAAATCTTCACATTCCACAACTATTATGGGATAAAAGGTTCTCAAGCAGACTAAGCTTCCATACCAAATTTCACACTCATAAAGCTTTAGCTCATCAACAGGGATGTGTAGATTAGGAGACTAGCAAGTTAGGGTCTCATTTTTCTTTCTGTGTCTTACTAAAATATTTGAAGGCTGACTTGACCCTGAGCTGATCATTGGCAACCTCTAAAATTAAAGATGTCAAAAAACAGTTGGAATGCTATTTCCTACAAAAGGGAGAAAATAAGTCCTTGTTGCTTTCACACCAATGGATTGAGTGGCTATCACACAGTAGATGCCATCACAGCACTGGCCTCACTAGCTAAACAGGATGCCCCCTGGCCCCTTGAGAAGAAAGAAAAAAGGAAGGAAGAAAAAGAGTAAGTTATTGAGAGGATAGAAAGAAGGATACAAAAAGAGAGAGGGAGATGTGGGAGAGGGATGGGAGGAGAGGAGAAGGGGAGGAAAAAGGTAGGAAGGGAAGATCACATTAGTCACAATTTAGTAAAAATAGACATGAGTAAAACAAGCTGTTTTGTTTTTTGTTTTTGTTTTGTTTTGTTTTTCGAGACAGGTTTTCTCTGTGTAAAAACAAGCTGTTTTAAGGGAAAAGGCATTTTTTTTGTACTTAAAAAATTATTTGTGGTATTTTGTTCCCTTTGAAGTTAAAAATGTTCCAGAACACCTGGTAGGGAAGGCTAAAACTGTCACTCCAACTGCAACTCTATATTCTTCAGTCAGATGTCCTGAAGGAATAAATAAATGGCTGCTACAACCATTAGATTCCAGTAAATCTAGTGGATTCCACCCCAAAGGGGCAACAATAACTGTTATGCAATACTGGGAAATCTCTTATTTTCTTTTTAAGTGTAGAAGACTTAAGTAAACCAATGACTTATCAAGCACTGACTTATTTGAAGAAGGGAATTAAAAATTGTCAGGGCTTGAGAGGTGGCTCAGTGGGAAAGGGCACTTGCTATGGGAGCATGAGCGACTGAGTTTAGATCCCTAGCATTGATGATGAAAACAGAAACATCAGGGTGGCCACACACCAGTAACTTTAGCACTTAGCAGGTGGAGACCAGAGGATTGATGGGGCTTACGGTCCTCCAGCCTAGAGCCAGGTTCAGTGAGAGACCCAGTCTCAATGGAATAAGGCAAGGGTTGATAGAGCAAGATGCCAAGATCCTCTCAGTACTTGTGTGGGCACACACACACACACACACACACACACACACACACACACACACACACAGAAAGAGAGAGAGAGAGAGAGGGAGGGAGAGAAAGTTAAAAAAAAAAAGATAGCCAAATCAATTCCCTGAAACCAAAACCTAAAATGGTAAAATTGGAAAGACAAAAAGTAATAATATGTAAAGGGATAAAATAAGAGAGAGGAGATTCAATTTCAAGTTTGGAAAGAAAAATAAGCATTTACTAACTGTTAATTTTCAGTATATAAAGTGTAAATCTTTTCTGTCTTGCCAATGGAAATCAGGATTACTAGTATGTCAGATATGGAAAAATAATCTTATTTTAATTCAGAAAATGAACTACTTTAGTTTCTTTCAATCAAAGTCATAATTACACAATTCACTGATTTTTATAAAATTGTACTCGATTGCATGGAACCTTGCTAGTTAGTGGGAAAGAGATGAAAAAAATTTTTGAGACAGGTTCTCATGCTGCCCAGACTGCTCTCAGACTCCTGCTCCTCCATCTTCTACCTTGCAAAAGGCTGGGATTTCAAGTGTATGCCACCACACTTGGCTCAAGCAGAACTTACTTTTCAGTTAGTATGCCTGGTAAGGTGATTATAATTCTTCAATGCGATTTCCACAAGTTTTAAGGTGACTCTAACACAAAGTGGAGTGAACCTATCTTTAACACACCAATCTTCTTACAAAGAAAAAAAGGAGTAAGATATAAAAGACATTCAAACTTGTTCTTAGTATACGGTAGGCCCTTAAAACTGGTACTTATTTTGTTATTCTTAAATACTTAATGATATTTAACATTGAAAAAATTGTGTGTGTGGTGTGTGTGTGTGTGTGTGTGTGTGTGTGTGTGTGTGTGTGTGTGTCTGTCTGTCTGTCTGTCTGTCTGTCTGTCTGTCTGTCTGTCTGTCTGTAGGCATGTGAAAGTAATAGGAAACCTTGCCAGAGACAGTTGTCTTCCACCTCATGGGTCCTGGGTATGGAACTCAAGCCCTTAGGTTTGGTGGCAACTGCCTTTACCAACTGAGCCATCTGCTATTTAATATTTTTATCATTAATTTCATAATTAAAATGGTATGTTCACACCAACACAAAAATCTTTTTGCACAGTAAGATAACATAAGTCAAGGAATTATTACCTAAACAAAAGCAGTTAATGGTTTTACTGTTATTCAGAAAATGAAAGAGTGGAGCTGGGAAGATAGCCCAGTCAGTAAAGTACTTGCCATACATTATGAAGATCTGAGTTCAGTCGGTGCTGGCAGTGCTTGTACTCCAAGTCCAAGGAGAAGGAGACACAGGAAGATGTCTGGGCCTTTAGGCCAGCCAGCCTAGCCTAAACAGCAAGCCCACATCTCTGGGAAGAACTATGCTTAACAAAATAAGGTGGCTCCTGAGGAATATCTGGTGTTAATCTCTGGCCAGAAAGGTAGAAAAGGATGATGAAGGAATAGGAGGAGAGGAAGGAAGAGAGGGAGAGAGAGAAGAGAAACCTACACCTGTGAAGGGAGGAAGGACTTCAATAGAGAGGGAGAGGGAAGAAGGAAATAAAACTAAGGATGCTAGGAAATGCCAAAGAGAAACATTTTATAAGCTTGCTTAAAAACACACATGCAAATAGTTTACATGAAGTTATAGCTCACAGGGTGATAAGTGCTCCCCAAGAACCACAGACTCTCTAACAAAAACCCAAGTGTCAGACATGGGAAAGTTCCCTTTGAAGTATTAGTTTGGGAGTTCCAACAAATTCCAGGCAATAGAGTCTACTATCATTCCCTTTGGTTGCCTGCAAAAAAACTTTAGGTAAGACCCTACTCCTGAAGATACCACATACTTCAGACACAGGACATGGAGTAATCAAGCTGGAACAAAGATGGAAGCAACCTTGAAGACCAATTCCCATATGGTATCCAAAGGTGCTATGCAAGCTGCCCATGGAGAAAAGCAATCAATAGTCCTAAAATAGTTCATAGTTGTAAAACCTATAAATTATGACAATGACGGGTCTGGCAGGATATTCCCAATAACTACAACAATGTCATACAATCACCTCGGAGGCTACAAACAACTGTCTGACTGGATCTAAAGTCATTCCACAGGAGAGATCTCATGCCTAGTATTATAATTCTAGCTAGACACTTGTGTCTAGCTACCTTACATGATAACCCACTACTGCCATTCTCTTAAATATAATTCCTAAATGCATCCTAAATACTTGATACTCAGAGATAAGTGCAGCTCTCAGCCTTATCCGAGAACCTTCTTTTGTAAAAGACAGAGACTATTACAGAAATCTACAACTGGTAGAATTGGGTGCCTAGCCCCAATAGGTACAGCTATAATGCAACCCCTATATGTAAGGACCAGGGATCATATGGAAGAGGAGTAGGAAAGAGTGTAAGAGTCACAAACCTGCTGCTAGATAGTGTCTTCTAGACATAGCAGAGATTCTGCACT